ACACACACACACACACGCACGCCACATTTGTCGTCCCTTCTAGATTAAGTTTTCTATCTTGTCTGGTTCCCGAAATGAGTTTCCGCTAAAAAACTTTTCACGTGAGATCTGATCAAGCATTAGCATTGTTTTTAAAAAGGGAGGATGGTACACGGAGTAGGAATATTTTTCTAAAATTTCAGCTTCATAGGTTTTCTGGTTCAGAACGGGTGACAAGGTTTACTCGCCTCACACACACAGTATATAACACATCCGAAAAAACACATACACATAAGGAAAACCGCTGAAATATGCGTTTTTGCGTCTGCGTAAAATGCAAAAACGCATAGAAACACTGGGTACTTCACCAAAATTTTCACAGCCGGTTAGTGGTCAAAGTTAAACATGGAACATATAACAACATGGGATAACGCAGTAGAAAAAGCGAAACTCAACAACTTTCTCCTTCAAGACCATAATATACAATCATCTGGAACTGTAAGCGAGAAAAAAGCAATGCAGAAGAATTGTTTTGGAAGCAGTTAACTGAACAATAGTGAAAATAGATGATTATATCGCTTATAATAGAAACTAGACTGTTATATTGCCCTTGAGCAAATTGTGTTTACTGAAATGGACCACCAAGCAATACGGAACATAGGCAGCCTGCAACATTCAAGGCAGCTGCAGTCCGTAATTCGCTTTTCCATTTTTCGTCTATGCAGCTGACAACTTTTTGTACAGTGCTAAAGCTTTGCAACAGGCAGCGAAAACGCATATTACGACGACCCTGTCTGTGTGTATTTTCGTCTGTCCGGGTATTTGTACTCGCCAACCACGCAGGCTCTGATGCTGGAATTTTACCAGTGTGTTCCCTGGCCAACTACCTCGACTGCAACTCACAAAGCGACTGGAGAGGCACAGTGAACCCCTGCCTTCCTCTCGTGTTCCTCTCTCTCTCCATCTGCCTAGGTCGTTATACAGATTCAGTGCCTAAGTAGTACTTCTGCAGCAAATTACCGGTGCGTAAAAGAAAAATCACAAACTAAACACTTGATGCATAGTAATAAACCAAAATAATAGGTGGACTAGAAAAAATTTAGTGGAATGAATTGAGAAACAGTCAAAAATTCTTTCGTACTGATTTTACAGAATGCACTGTTTTAAGTCGAAAATGCACCGGATAAGGTAAACTTTC